CGCCTGTCTAAGGGGACTTCTGTCAAAACCCAAGGAGAGAACAATGGAGAAGGACAAGAGCAGCATCATCTACAAAATAAAGTGCAAGAACTATTCAAAACACTATATCGGACAAACTGGGAGAAAACTGCCCACAAGGATCCGTGAACACCAATCGGCAGTCAGGAGGCATGACCGACTATCGTTGATTTCCCTCCACGAAGATCAAGGACATCAATTTGACTTCGAATCAGTGAGAATTATCGACCAATCCCGTTCGAAACACGCCAGAGAATTTCTCGAGGCCTGGCACTCTTCAATCAACACAATAAACAGGCACATCGAACTGGATCACGTGTACACGCCAGTGCAACTGAAGGACCAAATGACGCAACAAAGGTCATGCCGTGACCTGAGAACAGACGGAAACCGCAATCGGGACGAGAGGACAACTTCCTCCCCTCCCACCCCACCCGCTCGCAGCAGTTCAACGGCGGGCCGAGTCGAACACAGTGAGAACAGGGGACGAAAATTGTCGGTGGAGAAGAACGCATATATAAACGAACGGGTACAGGCAGAACACTGCCACTTCACAAGCACTGATGATGTCACCTCGGCTGGTGATGAAACGTTTGCAAACAAATTGCCAAGCTCGGTGAACGGGCGAAATAGAAAAGTGACCCACTGTGGCGTCCCAGATGTGATCCACATGCTGACCAAATTACCAAATTTGTTTCCAGGACTAATCAATCTACTTCAGCCAATTAAGAGCCCTCAAATCGTAACTATATCCTACGCTCGGTGGAACGGTTGAAAGCCAAACACGTTTCCAGGTTAAGGATATGAAACTCTCATTTAGGAGGTAACCATGATTTGGTAAGGCTGCGCATAATCAGTTATGTGAGTTTCAATATAGAAACGATCTCTTCGCATCAGTAAGTCAAAAAAATGTCCGAGAAAAGTGTCTTAATGTGCCCGACAATAAATCAAACAATCTCCGACGCAAAAAAGCACTTATTGTGCAACGGACAGAGCCACTGATGTATACGTAATTATAGGAGAACGCAGTAACTGGGAAACTCTGTTTGTTAGGATACACAATCCCGTAATAAGCGTACAGATGCATCTGTGGGTACATATTTGAGCAAATAAGCTAGAGAGAAAAATACCTAACAGCAAACCCCGGTATTAAATGCTATTGGAGTACAATCACATCAGACACCCAAAGAGGCGACGAACCAATTTGGGCCGGTAGCTATTAAGCTACTAAATTCCGATTGACTAAAGTGGATTGATCTTACACAATAGTCTGTGCAACGCACGTGTGGTATCCAACGCAGTCGTTAATCAGTTGATATTTCCACAGGCATGGACGATAGACCATCTTTGAATTGAAAGATGGATTGATAACCGGAAGCCCATAAGCACTGAACCGAAGAAACCAGGTTAATCCATCCACAAACGAGACTCATTTTCAAGTCGTAGCAACTCATATACAAATCAATCATAGATACTGAAGACCAGTAGGTTGCAGCGAGTGGTATAGTTCAGGCAGCATGCAAATATAGGATACCACTAATCAAGAACCAACTATTCCGCCACTGCGATCGCTTTCTGGCTTACCGGAACTTGGGGCAAAACTTGACAGAATAACGAAAAACACAGGTTGCTGCAAGCAATGACGTAATACAACATACATCCAATGTCGAGTTGATAAAACAAATCGGAGACTATCTATCACATCCAGACAATCACTGACTTATAGTTCTCCACGAATGTGTTGTTACGCAAACTGAATCGCAAACATCTAGTGTGTAGCGAAACAATGTCAATCAAGTTTTAGTATCGGGATTATTGCGCAACAAGAGTTCCGCACACAATTGATCGTACCGCGATGACACTGATTATACACCTGAATTTTCACCTCAGAATTATACCTGTCACCTCGGTCTTCCTTTTGCTAAATATGACTTATACAAATGATCATTTACGTTGTAGAATAAATGACAAGATGAAACGGCGTGCTACCATCTCGCAGTAATGTTCTCCTTTCCATTTAAAAAAAAACATGTAAGCGTGTGAACGAATTCGACGCCCTCGAGAAGTACAAGCTGAATAAAATAAATGGAGAACTATAATTCATAAATTTGTTTACTTTTTTTGATGGGAAAGGATTTTCCTTTGAAAAACGAGCAGTGGTGTATTGCGAGTATCATGATAGTCTTGGATGTGGGCTTCACTCCTTGTGAGATCTCCAATAAGTGAATGCATTTAAATGCAAAAGAAATATTTGTGATAACCGACACAGAGCTCGAACAACTGTTTCGTCCTGCCTGGTACTCGTCAGCAATGCGTACCTTTTGTGTTCCAAGGAGTGAAACCCATATCGAAGACCATTGGGAGTGTCTGGTGTTTCTGAACAATCGAATGGGCTTATCCAAACATAATACTCCAAAATGATTGAGTCATTCGCAGAAGGTAATAATCATCGACCATGTAGCCCAAGGGTAAGGGTTTGAGGTCCCAACCCGAAGGTTTGTTGTTCAGGTCCTAACATGGACACAAAACATACGAACTGCTGACGAGTCCCCAACAGGATGAAACAGCTGTCCAGTGCGATTCGTCAGTCATCACAAATATTTCCATCACAATTAATAGCATAACAATCCCGTGAGTAGTTCCAGACCATTTACAAGTTAAATTTATACTGATTTGTCGGCTTGTAGATAGTGTGGGTTAAAGAAGCAGCTCATGTATAACGTGACAGAATTCCTGATTGGACAGACAATTCAACAAACTCAGTGACACATATAGGGACCGAGGGGGCATTTGAATTCATATAAATGCATGGACCATAGTTTCGAGAACTAAGCCGACTACTTCAATCCTCACTCGACCACCGATTGAGAGAGTGAGACGAGTTAGAAACAGTTTTACAACACTCACTGGGGGGAAATTCGATCCGCACGATAGTCGAACGCGACGCGACGAGAGAAACGCGGGTAACAATAAACGGGTCGTGTTCAACTGGATGACTAGTTGCAATTTGCTCATCACGGGGATCAGAACTCGTAGGGCGAGCTGAAGTCGATTGGAACGCAAATCTATCCGGTCGGATTCTTTCTGTTCGCCCAGCTGAGCTCGAGCCATGCGGAGGAATTCGCTTTGGGTCAGAATGGCTAGGAGATAATGATGGTCCAGAAAGGGGAGGAGGGAGAGGGAGGTGATGCAAGACCAACGATCACCAACCGATAAAAAGCACAAACAATGAAGAGGGAAAATTTAAGAAACCGTGTAACCTCGCGAGGAGTAACCATGTCAAACGAGCTGTGGATGCAGACTTTACACTGACCCAAAGTCGCATGCGACTCGTTAAGCTGCACGGGAATTACATACTGACAGTAATATCTTGGTTCCATGCGGCAGCAAGTTTGAATGTTGATTTCCTCTCTCTCTCTCTCTCTCTCTCTCTCTCTCTCTTCAATGCGGCTTAGCAATGCGCGGATCAACCTCTCATAGCATCGGAGGTTGTGTCCAATTCAAACTCTTCCTCTAGCACCCCCACCACAGCATTAATTTCATTTTTTCGTTGCATCCTATGAAAGAACTAAAAGAGGATCACTTAGCCTTTCTGAAAATAAATTATACAATTGCAAATTCATTGACACGAAAACGATATGATTCGAGGGAAGAACTATTTCAGTGCCAGTTAGCATAATTACGATCATATGGTACCTCACCGTGAAGCAAACTTCACGGATCGGACATGACTTGATTTGTAATTAGAAAGTATGAAGTGGACGAGGATTTGGGCTAAACTAAGAATAACAAAGAACGAAGGGGATAAGGATACAAAACTGTTGGATAGAGGACAAACAGTTGTGATGGTTAAAGGAAAAAACATCTTTTGTTTCACCTTTTGACATCTTTTCGTGTTAGTTTATCATTTTCCTTTATGGGATACGGAATTTCGACAGACTTTATACCATTCATGCCAACGACTTCCATTCTGGGCCATATCTCGTAGTGTCTCTAGCCAACGACAATCCTCCTCCCTCGGGTCTCAACCTGGAAAGCGGACTGTATCAATCGAAGACAAACCTGGGGCTACCCACTTCATGCATCTATGCCGTGGCATNNTGCATCTTCCGGAATCGCCCGGCAAGTGCAAAGAGAGCACGGAAAGGTGAACAATCAGCAGGCATTCACATAACATGGTCAAGTCATCGAAGGCGGTTTAGAGTGATTAGAGAGAGCGACTGTCCACACCCCACATACGACGATGAACCTCTTCGTGGCTCACCCGGTTTTCCCCACCAGACATGGGCGGTAGAATACGGAAAGTCGATTAGCATTCTCAACGTCGACGGGCCAGATCTCGCAACCGTAAAGCAGAACACTAAGAACTGCAGCGATTTACACCCTTTGTTTAAGGGACATTTGAGTTTCCTGGCAGCGTCACAGGTGGCGCAGGTTGATAAAAGTCGCCCTATCATCCACTAAACGCGACGTGATCTCCTTTACCACACCACCAGCAGCTGCGAACAAGCTCCCTAGGTAATTAAAGCCCTCAACCACTTATAGCATGAAAATAAACAACAAGAACACCACTGTTGTCGGTTCGCTGCCCCTCTGTGTAGCTAACCAACCAGTTGTAGTCTTTTGTACCCCAACTTGGAAGGTGGGAGACAGCTACTCTGCCTAATTGTTCCACGAATTTCTCCATGCCTCATGTTCCTTCCACGTGCAAATTTAAGATCTTGCAAACGTAAGGCAGAACTGACCACACAGGCACAGTATACACGACCTTTCAGTCTGAAAGAAACATCATGTCGGCACCAAAGGTGTTTCAGTCCTGTGTACGCCGCTCGTGTGTTAGAAATGCGGGCGGTAACTTCTATGACTACGCTGCCATCAGTAGTCACGCAACAACCGAAGTAAGAGGTAGTCTATTCCTTTCCGTCATCGTTAAAACACCAAGTCTCATTTTATACTCCCGAATGTCCTGTTCATTTTTGTACACTGTGTGAACCAACCAACTGCTACGTTGTGCTACTCGTATGATGTAAGTGGTACCTCAAAACATCTTCACTGGTTGACACCATGAGTAGCCAAAGGGCGAAAAGCGAAACCGATACACACAAAAAGGAGGATATTAACGAATTCGATACTCACCGGAACTAGCCGAATAGTTGGACTGGGAGATTGTTCCCAATGGGCCATGACGAACAACAGCTGTGCTAGCCGAACGACGATGTCCAATCTCCACAAATAGTCCAAACAACCACTGGAACAACCAAACTGGGGATAGGAAAACCACCTGATGCAGTTGTGGATCGTCCGCATGCCAGACTATTCCGAATTCGCGCAAAAACGATAGCACTGATCTGGCCTCTTCACGTGACTCGAATCCGCGACTTCGTCGACCCAGATAAACGCATTGATTGGAAGCCAAATGAACCGTCTGAGTGGACGGAGCACGATCGTATGAAGACAAATTGTTCCCGGCAAGGGGATTCGGGTTGAATTCGATCGGTTCAGGATGACCTAATCGACGCAATCGGCGATCAAGTTCCACTCTGAAATGGATGGGCAATTTAGAAGCCCCGTGATTAGACGAAAGAATAAAAAACGCGACTGCTTTCAAAGGCTAATTGTGATCGGATGTAAATCAATTTAAGAAAGGGACATGTAACGATTTATTGTTTTCACTTCTTATGTAATGCTTGACAACCGCGCCAGAAATCCCTTATCGTGAGTGTTCGTAGATCACTAGACCTTTTTGGATCTTCACGTTTTGTGCATTTTACATTACAGGTTTATCTTTAACCCTGACCTACAGAGGGCCTGTCTGCCAGTTTTTCCTCGCCACCCCATATCCAGGTCGCCTCACCATCGTTCTTCATCCACAAAGTCTCGTATCATCTTCAGCTGCGAGAATACTATTAGAGAGACATCCTAACGCGCATCTCGGTTTACTACGCTGCGCTGAGAGCCCAAAGTTGGGTCGCATTACATCCTTGTTCATTGAGTACGCAAATGTAAAGCTCAAAAAGAATGTTGCAACCATACAAATGCTTGCTGGGAAAATACTCAATTGAGAAAGATGGACAGAAAAAGCGGGATTTGAACTCGGGACCTCCGAATCACCATTTTAATGACGTTACCCACACGAGCACCGCGGCCAAAAGAAAGATACAGTAAAGCATACAATGATAAATGTTGTATCCGGATAAGTCAATAAGTACGCAAGGAGTGAATTAAGAAGTAATTCAATTTCAAGTAAAGTAAATTAAAGCTTTATGCACCCGATAGGATGACTTATCAGCATTTTCGACAAGTTACAGTGAGGAAAACTTTAAGCATTGAAAAAAAGAAGAAATATACATTCACATAAGTCGATCGCCTGAATAAAAATGCTTGCTCACAATAAAGTCAACCAAAACGGTCTTTGAAATAATGCCGCTGCAACGAATAAGAAGTTTAAGAGATCTGAAAAAGAGGATAAAGTCATTCTCCTTCAAACCAGGAAAATATACGGGTGGACAGTATAACCAATGTGGAAGAATGCGTGCAGTCACAAATTTAAGAATTACGTTTAAGAGAACACTGAGCTTTTTAAGCCTAAAAGCGTAGAAGGATAGTCTGCGAACCCGAATATAAACGTTTTCAACATGTTTAGACCAAGGAAGATTGTGTAACAAAGTGACTCCAAGATATTTCACAGAGTTAGCCTTCGGGATGGTATTACCATTAACAGAAAGAAAAGGCTGATCGCTCAGAATGGTTTGATAAGGCATGCCTGTTTTAAGGCTAAAAGAAACATCCACACATTNGCATGTTTGGACCAAGAAAGATTATGTAACAAAGTGACTCCAAGATATTTCAGAGTTAGCTTTGGGGATGGTATTACCATTAACAGAAAGTTCAGGTTGATTATTCACAAGGGTTTGATAAGGCATGCCTGTTTTAGAGTTAAAAGAAACATCCACACTTTTATCTACATTTAGCATTAAAGATTGGGGATCGACCAGCTAAAAATGTTATTTAGACAAACTTGACAGAAACAATCAGGAACAGTCGAGGGACAGCCGACCACTACGTACTTACAGGCGATAAAGTTGGGAGGGATGGGAAGGTCCTTAATATATAGTGAAAAAAGAAATGGAGACAAAATTGCACCTTAAAAAACTCTAGAGTTAACTTCTAGCAGGGAAGATTTACCGTTACAAAAAGTGTATTGCGACCGATGAGTGAAGTAATTAACTAGTACATTCAGTAAATCAGGTGCCAGACCACAATCCGAAAGACGTTGAATGAGAATGCCGCGGTCAAGTTATCCCAAAGCATTAGCATAATCAAGAAAAGTTAAACGGACGATGCCAGCCCCTTTATCCAATAAGGATGAAACGGAATGAGCAACGTGAGCAGCAGCATCAAGAGTCGAAAGCGAATGTTTGTATGCAAACTGAATAGGGTCACGGATGACAGATAAAAGGGTAAGCCGGTTAAGGACTCTTTCAAAAACTTTCAATAATGCTGATATGCAGGCAACCGGTAGATATTTGGAAGATCCAAATGCAAACGTAGCCTGTCCGTAAACCGGTGAGCAAGCCGTGCGTCAACACGCAGACAGGCCGGCACAAACTAGCGCAAGCCCTACTAAAAGGAGTATGTCGTTACGCTGGGTAGTCAACGGACCAATCAATGAGGAGAGATCAAAACTGACCTCTGATTTGCTGAGGTTGATCGACTTTGTAACAAGTCCGCATGACGTGCGTCCGTGCGTGTGGTGGTAGGCCACAACGGTCAATCACGTGATGCGCAGTTTCACTCGACTGCAGGCCACAACAAAAAGTAAGCAATTTTTGCAGTCTGGAGGGCCTCTCACCGTACAACCTATCTTCCTTTCTCGGTGAAAAATGCGCACTACGGTGTCTGTAGACATCCATTCGTTCACTGCTGCTGTTATCGTTACATGTCGAAAACGATCGAAGCATTCGTTATGATCAGCGTTGGTCCACATCATTGCCACCGTTATTAGTCGTAACCTTAGTGGCTCACGAAGTGAAAGTGCAGCGTATTAGACCCCGGTTGTAATTGTGACGACGACTAGAGTGACCGGACCGACTTCGTGTATGCTCTATAGCGAGGACAACGACGAATATAGTTCACCTGTTCGCACAGAAGCGTCAGTGTGATGGCGATCATTGATCGGTTGCTTATCACAGCCGCGTTTACCAGCTAGGCAAATCCCGGTTATCGTTCGCCCGATTGCACAGCTATAGTTTAATGAGATAAAGCCCATCGATCGATGGAATTTCGTTCTAAGCAGCGGGACTAATTTTACGCACACATGGTGAACCCTGTATTAAAAGTAACCACAGAAGCAAGATAGGATAATCACAACACAAAGATTACGAAGTATTACAATTGTTACCAGTCTAAAGGTGGAAGAAAACTATTTTCGCCGTATTCTGCTATGCAAGCAACAGAATGGAACACATTAAAAAACCTTTATAAAATAAATATGCATTTTTCCATAATATTTATTCTTTCATTCTTTCGGAATTGTATCTCATCCGTAGTAACAAGATCGTTCAACGCGAAAAAGCCAGTAAGTGAAACTCCAAGAAGAGTTTTGCGTTGGTCTATATTAGTGAATATTACTGTCCGTACTTAAGATAAGTTTTTTTATCGTGATTATCCGTTTACCGAAAATGGTATAGATTATCAAACTGCTCATTCTTCGCTAAACCCGTGGAGCTGAACCAAACAGAACGTAATCCATTCGTTTGAAAAAGGAGATATTTTTAAAGTGAAAAGCCGATAGTCATTGTCAGAAAAATTATTGCTGCTGAGATTGTTCAGTGCAAAATATACGACGCTATCATCCCTTATATGCCAAATGAAATCATGATGCAGTCCTTTCTCCTGTACGTCTTTTACCGTTCAAACTTCAACTGAATCCATCGTCACTTCAATTACTCTCCACAGAATGCATTCCGTGGAGAAGGAAATAAGTCAAAAAACGAAACAAAAATAATAAAATCGATCTTTGGTTGTCCTGAGAAGGGCAGTTTCTACGTCCTCTGTTGGAACCAATCTCAGTGGTCTCCCATGTCCTCACCATCAAGAGCAGGCATGTAAAATGTCTGCGAATGTCACACGAACCCAGCGCAATGAGAATCGGGGATCGACGATATCGCTCTCGCAACAGACTGCTCTAAGAACTGCATTCACCATTCCGCTTGATTGATTACACCTTCAGGATCCCCTTGAAGGAGGCTCGGAAAATTATCGCTCAAATCGCGCTTGACTTTGCTCTTAATCAAGCTCCACATATGCTAAATTGGATTGAGCATTGGCGAGTATGGTGGCATCCTCAGCAGCTTTGCCTTACGATATTCACTCTCAGTGAATATCTCCTCCAGTCTGTTGTGGCAAGGAGCATTGTCGAAAACGACAGTGATCTGCTTGATGGATACATTTTGCTGGAGTTGACCCAGCGCTTGCAGTCTTCTCATCGATATGCTCCACATTTGGTCTTGCACGATACCATTCCCATCGCAGTCATGGCACCTATTAGATGCAAATTTCTCCTGTGACTGTTGCATACCGGCAAGCATGAACGTGTGCCTTTAGTAGACCAACCCATTGTCCTGGTGCAAAAGAGGTTGAAGTTTGTTTCATCAATCCAACAAATACAACCCCCTTCTTGGTCTGCCTCAAACATCTGAAGAGCATACCGCTGGCGAATTACCTTCGTATCAACATTATTCTTTCCATATGGAATGAGATGAAGCTTCTTGATTGTAATTAGTCGGTAATTCAAATAATTTCCAACTGTTGTGCGTGAAACCTCCTCAAACTGCGCTTTAATTCGGATTCTTGACAACTCCAATGTGATTGTGGGATCTTCTTCCAGCCAGGTGATTATTTCGTCAATCTCCGAGTCATTTGAAATCTTTTTCCTTCCTCCGCCTTTCGGTTGACGTTCGTACTGCAATTCCTTGGCCTTAATCCAGTTGTAAGCGGTCTTCACTCCATTGGGTCTCGCAACAACACGCCAATCCTCTCTCTCTACGAAAGCCTCAACAATTCGCTTGCGCACAGCACTGTCAGCACAGTTGTACCGGCCTCGAAGCATGATAGAAAAGTAAATGGAGGTGGATCAAACAAAATATCTTATACCTCACCTTCATAGGTGTCTGAGGGATCGTCAATGTCCAAGCGAAGACTTTACGCATGCCCCATGCAATGAAACGTACATCGGATCGGTTGCGTTCCGTTTCGTTCAGTTCTGTGGGCTGAGCCAGGAATGGACGAGCTACACTGATTTGGTTGCAAGGCCATTGATGACAGCCAGCTCATTAACCCATGCTCACCTCAAGCACTCCAACCTCTGTCACAGAACCAATATTTTCATTCGAATAGGCCCATGATTCTCACACCGCCCAAAACTCAAACCTGTGGTCAGCTTTGATAGTAGGGCTCTAGTGCGCACGAAACAGTGCGTCACCCTTCATGCATGTCGAGTGGCGTTCAGTATGGCTTTACCGACCCACCGATTCGTGCATCTTATCAAGCTCTGTGACGCATTCGACGTCCGTCACAGAGCTCGACAAGATGCACGACTGAGGTCGGCCACATTTCAACACAGAAAGGGCGTGGGAAGACAGGTGGTCAATCCGGGGTAGAACAAATGTATGATTAATTGACCAATGAGGTGCACTAAACGGAAGCGGATCCAACCACAGCATTTCTTTATCAAATCTAAGTGATGGTTTCTCAATTCCAAATGACGGTTTCGCAAATGAGAATTATAGTTTCTCAAATCTATCTTAAAATGGTATAGAAGTGACAACAAGAGCATCACAAGACAACGTGAAACGGCGGGATAATCGCACTATCCTACTATCCACATAGCAGCATGACATCTTAAATTGATACTCCGACATCTTAAATTCGTATTCGGACATCTGTCAAGATGTCACGTGCACTTCACATTCAAACTCTACGTTTAAAAAGATTCGACAATTTTGTTTATTTCCCGCTTGTGATCTTTTGAAGTTCCACTGTATTTGCTCACCCGATTTGTATATTCTTGTGTTGTTACTCATCTTCTTTACTGCTCCCCAGTTTAATTTGCCGGCCTTAGGGTTAGAGACTGCACAATTTTAAGCCGGTCTGTAAAAACTATTTCTCGCATGAGCGGTCTTCCCTATTTACGCTTGCTCAACTTCATCCTCGACAAACATTTTACCTCTTGCGAAAACTTCTGCAACAATACTCTATCAGACATCACTCGCCTACTACACTTATGTAACCAGGTATCATTATAAACCTGTGCACACTCGTACCACTGCCTACCATTTGTCCGTTATAGCTTTCGAGATTTCTGGCACGGAGAACATGCGTTAGAGAAGACTTTTCAAAAATCTTAGGTAAATAATATCCCTTTCCACACCGTTACCTTACCTTCCTCTAATGAATTTACGGCTGTGGGACTGTATGCGATGATGAATAACCCTGGTGTGTGTGTGTGTGTGCGTGTGCGCGCAAGGAGCTGAAAATCCCTCCACTAGGATTGTTGCGACTTGTGTACCCCCTACACAGGCTGCTTTCTCTGATAGACGCTTGCACATTGTCGAGTCAAATGACACCGGCTTGAACTGTTCAAAATCATATGCCATACTCATAGGAATCGTTCAATCGGTGAACAGTGTCACGTGTGAGTCACAATAGCCGAAACGACATTGATCGAAAGATAAGGCATTGCACACAAGTTGGTTGGTCATAGGCGAACTCATACATCGTTGAACGATCAGGTGAGTTCAGTTCCTACAACCATTAACTATGCAGTTTCGTGCGCCGGTTTTGGTTACCGTCTTTTGGTTGCCCATTTGGATAAAACAGCAGAATGATGATTAGAATGTTGAGAGCAGAGTCAAGCAGAAGATAGTAAATTTTCATGGATTGAAATTACAAGAATAATGAGTAGATGCATGAGCGCCACTGTTTACGACACCCAGCCATATCGTTCAGTGTTTCTAACCGACGGTGACTATGCTCTATGGGTCCCCAGCCAGAGAGCCTAGCGGGATCCATGTGACCATGTCTTCTGGTCAGGGTTTTCATATCCTCATTCCAGGTCTTAGCTTGACCGTCCTTCGTTTTTTTTCCAACCACTACCTACCTCAGAAAGCATCGCTGGTCGGGGCAACCTCTGATTACATGCGCAGCACATGTCCCAACTAGCGTACTCTATGGAGGCGGACTACCTATTCCAGTGGACGACCACAATTACCTAAAACTCTATGCCTAATCTCAGCACTGTTAGTCCGGTTTCCAACCAAACTCGTGCATGCGACGTAGACAGCGGTGTTCGAACACCTCTATGAACACATCTATTTTTGTCCTGTTCCCGTAATGGCGAAGCCTCTGCGTCGTAAAGAACTGGCCGAACTGCTGCAGCATATACTCGACCCTTCACACACAACCGAATGTTGCGACGGCGCCACAAATGTCTCAAGTTGACAAATGCCAATCGAGCCTTTTGTATGCGCGCCGACACTTCATCTGTGATGCGTCCGCCAGGTGAAATAAAGCTGAATAGATAGAAAACTTGTCTACTTTCTCTACAACTTCCCCGATCAGGGTGAGGCCAGGAACTGGGCCTCTGAAAAGGCAGCTCCAGAGTTTAGAGCGGTCGACTGAGTCGAAAGCCGCTTTCAGGTCGAGGAAGATGGAAAGGGTGGGTCTACGAAGTGTCTGTGTTCTAGGATTTGACGAAGAGTAACGATGTGGTCGATACAACCTCAGCTAAGTCTAAAACTAGCCTGGTTCTCACGTGTGCACTCTTCAAGAGCGGCAGACAATCGACGGAATATGATGCCAGCGAGAAATTTAGAGACAAAATTTTAATTAAACTGATTTATCTGTGGTTTTCACAAGAGGACCTGTCGCCCTTCTTGTAAATCGGTATGATCACCGATTCACACCATTCAGTTGGAACCCGTTCCTTTTCCCACACTGAACCCAGGCGTTTTGTTAACTCCAAAGCCAAGGCTAGACCAATGGGGACACCCTGCCGGGGCCGGAAGCCTTATACCTTTTGAGATAGCTTAATTCTCGGGTAACCCCTATTTGAGATGGAAGACTGATGTAAACTGGTAGCATTTTCACAGTTAAACCGGGTGTAGGGAGGTCTTGTGTTGATGAGGGCCAGCTGAACCTTAAAATATTCTGCTCATCGATCTAGACGGCGTTGTTGAATATGGATCAGTGTGCCATCGGACTCGTTAATTACCTCACTTACGCTTGCTTTCCTTGGACCTGTACTCCTAATTAATCGGAAAATATTGCGACTGTTACCGATAGTCTCTACACTTTCCTATCCACCACTTCTCGCGGTCATTCCTCATGCTCTTGATGAGCTGGCGTTTAAGGGATTTACGCGCTTTGTCGTAGTTTTAATCCGAAGGAGTGGCTTTGCGAGCGTCCAGCAGAGCAACCGAAGTCAGAATTTGCTGTTGTTTCGATTGACATTTGGAAACGATCACCTGAGTGAGTGTCAGGAAGTGCAACATATCGGCAGAGCGCAACCGCACAGCCAGGATCTACGCATACGGGAGTGTGTTAAGTTTGTTAAAAAGTGGTAAGATATGGGAAGCATGCCACTTCCCAAGGATGCAACAGAACAAGAAACTGACTGTATCATCTTGACCTCGTGGGACTCACAGGAACTGATCGACCAATAGAACAGGCGGTAACGACGAGTGTAACATTTCCGCGGTCATCTCGTGAACACAGCCAACGGCACGGTGATAGAGATCCGGTACCGCAAGGTTGATTAAAGCACACGTGGGCATAGTTCCCGGAGTCGGATCGAGTAGAATGGAGGATTTGATTCGATCTGGAAGAGAAACACAGTAGGCGGTCACAATCGCTGTACACGTGGGCGAACGTCAAAATGG